TGTGACTGCGGTAACTGAACGTTTCAGGGGATTTAGATTCTCAATACAGTCCACTATATCTAGTAAAATAATCCCAATCCGCCACATTTCTGGCCTTCGAGCCGCATATATTCGAATTAGTGATCTTCGAATAATAATTTTCTACCCTTAATTCGCGTCCCGTGGACGTCATATATTTGAGTAAAACTACGCATTTAATTAATTTAATATCCCTTATTTAATTTGCCTCTTTTTTACCTGGATGTCCATTGCTCGCGGTGCGTTTATAAAGTATTAATTTTGTAATTTGTTCATAATGTCGGATAAATTACAAATAAAAAGGCAAACACTTATTTTTAAAAAGGAATACCTATTTGCTAAATTACAAAAGGTTTTCGATATCGCGAGATCCCAAATAAATGATCCCACACAAATTCAGAATTTCTTAGCCGATTATTCCGAATTGGAAAGTGTCCGCTCAAAGTTTGAAGAAACAGTGTTAAATATTATTGAAATAGATATATCATTAAAACCGGAGACAAGATTGTCAACGCGAGAATTAGATACATTTGATGAACTTTATAAGGCATGTAGGTTGCAATATTTAAGATTAAAACCGGACGAGCAGGCATCCCTCAGTAGGAAAGATAGGAGTGATGTAAGGCCGTCATTACCTAAATTACGTTTATTTGAATTCGATGGTGATATTGAGAAGTGGACCACATTCTACGATACATTTGTATCACTTGTCCACAATCGAGATTTCGATGAAATAGATAAGTTTCACTATTTGCTTTCATGTGTTAAAGGTTCGGCATTAAACATTGTTAAAAAATTGCCCATAACAGCCGCTAATTATACTGTCGTATGGCAAAGTTTATGTAATAAATATCAAGATGATCGAATACTCGTGGGTAGGTACATCGACAAAATGATAAACTTTACGCCGTTAAATAAAGATACTACCGCAAATCTTACTTTATTTATCGAAACATTCGATCACTCTTTTAAAGCCATCGAGGCATTAAAAATTAAAAATTTACATGACTATTTATTTTGTCATTTAGCCTTACGTGGGTTGGATGCGCATACTAGGAGGCTTTTTGAAGAAAATCGGGATAAAAATTCACTTCCATCTTTTTCGGAATTAATTAGTTTTGTAAATAAACAAGTTAAAGTACTCGAACATTCATCGAATAGTACGATGTCGTTACAATCAAGAAATAAGTCTATATGTAACAATTACAAAGGCAACAATAATAACCACTACAAAAGTTATTCAAAGACAGTTTTAAATACTAATGTGTCGAATTATAATAAAAATAAAAAAATAATTTGCGCGCATTGCAATCAAAATCACATGATTTATAGGTGCGATCAATTTCGTAAATTGACCGTAGATAAAAGGATTGACCGTGTCAATACCTTAAAATTGTGTCATAATTGCCTAAAAGGAAATCATGATACCTCAACTTGTAAAAGTGAGATGTCTTGTGGTGTATGTGCGTCACTACATCATTATCTATTGCATAAGGAGCCAGTGAGCGACACGCTCGTGCCAACATCCACCCGTCCATTGTGCTCTGACTCGCAAGTGCAACAAGCACTCGTCTCGTCTCAGGCTATGAGTGACTCAGAGCGTTATACGATAGATACGCTTCATTCCAATAACGCTCACTCGGGTTACGGTGTTGTATTGGGAACGGCGCGCGTGTTAGTAATTGATAGTAGCGGCCAGCTTCAATACTGCCGTGCAGTTATTGACTCTGGAGCTCAGAGCTCATTTATTACAACTGAGTGTGCTCAACGTTTGGGCTTACCTCGAAAGAAGTGTTCGTTTAATATTTATGGTCTCGGTGGAGAGGCTGTAAAAAATCACGGCATGATTACATGCACATTAAGGTCCCTACACACTGAACTACCTAGTTTTACACTGAACATGGTCGTAGTGACTAAGGTATCTGCTGATATGCCTAACGTTCGATTCCACTCGGACGTTATTAATAAATATAAGAATTTTAATTTAGCTGATCCATTATTTTATAAGCGTTCGCGTATCGATATACTATTGGGCAATGATATAGTTTCGGAACTAATTAAGGATAAACCTTATATTATTTCGTCGGATATACCAAGCGTGATCGATACCGCTTTCGGGTTTGTTGTAAGTGGTAAACTTTATAGCAATGATAAGGACAATTTAAAAAATTATAATTTATCAGTCTCATTTGATGAACAAGAGTCTTTAGATCAAACGTTGCGTAAGTTTTGGGAAATCGAAGAATTGCCAAGCAAACCCTCGATTAATCCTTTGGAACAATTAGCGGAAGACATTTTCGTGGCTCGTTATAGTCGTACTGAGGATGGTACCTATTCAGTGCCGTTACCATTCATACCAGACCCGCCTCCGTTGGGCGCGTCACGAGCGGCAGCCGAGCGGCGACTCTTGCACCGAGCGCAAGTTGAATCGTTCACCTGTATTACGACAAGCCTATTCAGAGTTCATGTGCGAATATGAAAATCTAGGGCACATGGAGCTTTATTCGGGGGACACCCCAAGCAAATATGTGATACCTCATCACAGTATACTTAAGCCCAGTAGTTCCACTACTCCGTTGCGTGTGGTATTCGATGCCTCGGCTAAAACGTCCACGAACGTTTCGCTTAATGATATTCTATTGACCGGGCCTAATCTGTATCGAGATATTGGGGCTATAATATTGAATTTTAGGTTGTTTGAATATTGTTTGATTTGTGACGTATGCAAAATGTATCGGGCAATTAAACTGAATCAGTCAGATAGATGTTATCAACATATTTTGTATCGTCATTCGCCTAACGATGCCATTGACGTTTATGAATTAAAAACTGTCACTTACGGCTTAAGTTGCTCACCGTTCTTAGCTATCCGCACCCTCTTACAGTTAGCCTATGACGAGGAAGAACGTTTCCCACTCGCTGCAAAGGTTGTGCGCGAGGGCGTGTACATGGATGACATTCTATATTCTTGCAGTTCATTGTCACAGATATCTCGGTTACAAGATGAACTTTTAGAGATGTTTAATTCCGGTGGCTTTATACTCAAAAGGTGGGCGAGTAATAGTGCAAAAGTATTACAACGCGTTCCGTTAGAAAACCGAGAGTGTCCTGTTACATTTATGAAAGATGGTAACGAATATTCAGTCAAAGTGCTAGGTCTGAAATGGTTCCCCTTGACTGACTGTTTTTATTTCACAGTAGATAAGACTGATAAAGTAACAACTAAACGTTCTGTTTTAAAATTATTAGCTTCTATTTACGACCCCGTGGGTTTTATTTCACCGTGCATTTTCATCGCGAAAGAGATAATGCAAGATTTATGGAAGCTGGGCATAGGATGGGATGAGCAGCTGCCAACTGACGTAACTAAGCGCTGGCTTAATTACGTTGATGATCTCCCGCGACTAACGGCAATCAAGATAGATAGACATATGCTGCTACCAGAACAGACCGAATGTGAATTGGTCGCCTTTTGCGATGCAAGCTCTCGCGGTTATGCTAGTTGTGTGTATGTGATCAGTCGTAACGATAGAGGTCAAACTAAAGTACGCCTGGTGACAGCAAAATCTAAAGTAGCCCCCGTCAAACCATTAACTATCCCGAGGTTGGAATTAATGGCGTCAGTTTTGTTAAGCAAATTAATTAGATATGTCCGTGACATTTTAACTCGTGTAAAAATTACTCGTATTACTGCGTTAACCGATTCGACTATCGTGTTGACGTGGCTTCAGACAGAAGCTTACAAATTAAAGCCGTTTGTTAGTAACCGTGTTACTCAGGTATGTGAAGTGTTACCTCCACACTGTTGGCGTCACGTGAGTAGTGAGTGCAATATGGCAGACATATGCTCGCGCGGAGCGTCTCCGTCACAGCTCGTGGAGTGCAGTGAGCAGTGGTTGAAGGGCCCATCTTGGTTGTACGACGACTATTCGCAGTGGCCAGTGAGAACATTTATCAACCAACATGAAAGTAATACACCCGAAATGAAATCAAATCATACATTAGGCTCCTTCAATTTAATCACAAATGAAAATAATTCGATAGAGGAGACTAAGTTAGAGTTCTGTGACCGAATCTTTTCCAATTTCTCTTCTTATTATAAACTGCAACGTACGTTTGCTCGAATATTGAGATGGTTCCGACTCAAATCCGGTCACTCGAAGCAATCAATACTGACGACTAACGAATTAAATACTGCCCAAGATGTTTTAATTAAATTAGTACAAAGTGCATACTTCGCAAATGAAATAAATAGATTGTCAAAGGGCACAAAGTACGTTCCGTCGTTGAGAAAATTATCTCCATTTATTGACGAACGCGGATACCTCAGGGTGGGGGGTCGAATAAATTATTCAGCGTTACCTTATAACGCGAAACATCCTCGTTTATTACCTAAAAATAGTAGATTTACCTTTTTACTTATTGAATATTTACATAAAAAATATTTACACGTAGGTCCACGCACCTTACAAAACATTATTAATCAAAATTTTTGGATTTTAGCATCCCGTCGCATTATTCGGTCAGTTTTGTCCAAATGCAAAATTTGTTTTAAACACAACCCAGTGCTCTTACAGCCTGAGATGGCACCTTTGCCAGCAGCCCGATTGATACCTTGTAATGTTTTTGAGCATGTAGGGGTGGACCTCGGTGGTCCGTTCTTTACAAAAGAAAGTTTACGACGAAATGCTAGGGTTGAACGGTCATATTTAGCATTATTTATTTGTTATTCGACAAAAGCTGTACACCTTGAAGTCTTATCGTCGTTGTCATCGGACTGGTTCCTCGCGTGTTTAGACAGATTTGTAGCGCGACGCGGTGTGTGCTCCTTCCTTTATTCGGATTGCGGAACTAATTTCATAGCTGCTAGTAAGCATTTAACCGAAGTACAAAGATTTATGCTCGAACAAAAAAACAATATATTAGAGGGTTGCTCAAAACGACAAATTATATGGAGATTTAATCCCCCTGGTGCACCACATATGGGTGGGCTCTGGGAAGCTGGAATTAAATCCGCCAAGTATCTATTAACGCGAGCCGTAGGAGAAAAAAGTTTGACGTTCGAGGAACTCACAACAGTGTTTTGTAAAGTAGAAGCGATTCTCAACTCGCGGCCGCTTTGTCCGTTACCAGCTAGTGATAATCCTGATGAGTTCAACGTTTTGACTGCGGGACACTTTCTAATTGGAAAAGGGTTAACAGCAGTACCTGAGTATAATGTAGAGGATATAACAATAAATCGATTATCACGTTGGCAATATATTCAAAAATGTTCACAAATGTTTTGGCGTAGATGGAGTCACGAATATCTAAATACGCTGCAACAGAAAGCAAAGTGGCATTCGGATAGATCTAATATAAAAATAGGTGATCTCGTAATCATAAAAACTGATAATGTACCGCCGTGCAATTGGCCTTTGGGTAGAATTGAGGCTCTTCACGGTCCAGATGGGATTGTTCGTTGTGTTACGCTTCGCACTCAAAAGAGTACTCTACAGAGACCAGTTAATAAACTGAGTCCTCTACCTTATTCAAATTAGTTTTTACGTGTATTAATATTTTTTTTTTCTCGTTGAGGACATTCTGTGTCTCAGCGTTATTTTGCATGTTCCGTAGCTTAAGTTATAATATTTTCTCTAATATCTTTTTCATATAGTTAGGAGAAACCATCAAGATGGTTTCGGTGGGGGGTGTGTTCAGTAATAAACCGCAACTCACAAAATTTATACCGAGGCACAATGATCTGCTACGATCGGAGCGCCGGTCACACCTAGTGGCAACATTGCGACGTAATATGCGTTGTAATAATCTGTGGAGTTAAAAAAAAGAGAAGAGGAGGGTAGGAGGCGAGACAAGCCATACACATTCTCTTTGTGTTCGTGATGTGAACATCTCTCCAAAAACTTTAAAAAGGGACTACTCCAGAGTGTACCGTGTACAATCTAATTGCTAGTGTATTCTACCGTGTAGAAGAAGCTACCAGGAGCTGTCAACGTTTGCTGATCTTGGGAGGCTGGCTAGTAAGACCGTGAGTAGTTTGTTGCTGTTTTTGGTGTGATTTTGTGACTGCGGTAACTGAACGTTTCAGGGGATTTAGATTCTCAATATAGTCCACTATATCTAGTAAAATAATCCCAATCCGCCACACTAATTATCTTATTAACACAACAAATAGAAATGGAAAAGGTTTTCATTTTACTTAGTTCTATAACCTTACTTTTTAGATAAATTATTAAGATATTATTAAGAATCAACAATTTAGTAACTATATCAGAAAAAGTAAAAACCTGGCACTTCTGAGATTAAAGTAATTTTGTTTTAACTTAAAACTAAACTTTATTACTATTTTATTTGCTTTTGTAGCATTCAGGACACACCACTGCTTGGTGGTCGGGACAAATCCATTTATTGCAAGTCTTGCACCACTTTTTTGTCGACCGTTTTCGGGCTCTCGAGCAGAGTGCACATCAACCAACTCGTTCTATCTTTGAAGTCAAATCATGTTGAGACTCTTGTGGTTCTTGAACTGTGCTGCCCAAAAGTGCTTCTATCCTGAATTTAAATTGTAGTGGAAGTGTTTCAATTGATGCACGGCGAATCAAAAGCGGTTTTATCAAAATGAAGAACAATTCGTGCAAAAAGTTACGCCTGACATTTTCTTCGGCAGGGGTGTTCATTTGGTTGATTACCAACAATGTTTATCAAATCAAAAATTATGACTAGCGGTCATCGACGGCAATTACGCTGAACACCAACTGCTTGCACATTTTGTCTAGAATGTCTACAACAAATGTGGTGTAGACATTATGAGTAGAGATATACTACGAGAGAGAGTAGATTGAGTACGATTATAAAAAGTAATAATGCATTGTAGACAGAAAGTTGACTACTAGGGACTGCAAGTCTGGTTCTAGCTGAACTTCATCATCTTCACTCTCAATCACTTTTTCATCTTCAGTATCGAGCTCATGGAGCCACCTTTCCACTTGTAAATCATTCATGATGTAATCCAATATATAAATCTGTAAAAATAATAAAATAAGAAATAATATACATTTTACAAATTGTAGCCAATATCTAAATAATAATAATTTAATATGCATACACATAAATACATTATTAATAAGTAAAGAATATTAAAATAGCGTTATAAATCGATAATATACCAAAAGTTACATACCTGAATTTGGTACACCAATATACGCGCGGACTACTTTAGTAGGCCCACGCTTTTGGCGCCAAATTGCTTGTGCATATGTACGCGCTGGATTCGCGCAGGGTACTGAGGTTGTGACAAATATACCAGACGAGGCTTACCTGGAATCACTAGCTTCTAGCTCTCTAAACTAAAAAGTTATTGCAAAAAGAGTTACCCTGGTCTACTATAGTAGGCCGCGCGTGTACTCTAGTGTTAATGACTAAAATAATATAATAATTTTCATATAATTTAATAGCTTTTGAATTCGGGGCTTTTATTCTTCGATACACTGGGTCTCAGATCCCACTCCAGTATATATTACATTATGTAGAAATTATTTGTGAATATTTTACAATTTTAAAAATTATTTCATTATAATTTTATTCTAGCATGTATGCGTAGATTTATGGATGTAAAGAAATGAGAGAGGTGTGTCAGGAACGTGCCATTTGAAAGTCCGTAGTATATAGACATATATACTTATTGCTTATTTTATTCTCTTTAGTTAGGATTTTAATTTTTATTAATAATTTACTTTTACTTATATTTTTAAATAAGCAAAAGTCGACTCATGTGGTTAAGCCCGGAAATAATTCATTGGATCCATCCGAAATTATTTTACCTCATATCATCATATAAACCATAATGATTTTTACGCGAACACTACACATAATATCATCATTATCTTAATAGCCCTTCACAAGTCCACTGGCACAGGCACAATCCTGAGCCACCTGCATCCATCGCCTTCCTGCATGTCTTACCAGGTCGTCACTCCATCTCGTGGGGGGTCACCCTACACTTCGCCTACCGGTACGAGGCTGCCACTCGAGAACCTGTCTTCCCCATTGGTTGTCGGTTCTTCGAACTATATGGCCAGCTCACTGCCACTTCAGCTTACTAATCCGTTGGGCTATGTCGGTTACTCTTGTTCTACTGCGGATATCCTAATTTCTATGTTTATCACACAGAGAAACCCCGAGCATAGCCCTCTCCATAGCTAGCTGAGCGACCGTGAGCTTCCTCATACGGCCAGCAGTGAAGGTACACGTCTCAGCTCCGTAAGTCATCACTGGTAACACGCACTGGTTGTACATTTTCGTTTTCAGGTTTTGAGGTATGACTAACGAGAAGATGTGTCGTAGTTGCCCAAACGCTGCCCAGCCGAGTTGAATCCGTCGATTGACCTCTCGATCGAAGTTGGACTTACCTAGTCAGACTATATGTCCCAGGTAAACACACTCATCAACAAATTCGAGCTTAGTGCTCCCAACAACTACCGGCATAGGGGTGACATGGATGTTAAACATGATTTTTGTTTTGTCCATGTTCATCTTAAGACCTATCCGTTGGGAGACACTATTGAGGTCATTGAGCATAGTGCTTAGGTCTTCCAGCGATTATGCCATAAGGACAATATGGTCGGCAAATCGAAGGTGAGTGATGTACTCGCCATTGATGTTAATACCGCATCCTTTCCAGCCCAGTAGCTTGAAAACGTCTTCCAATGCAGTGGTGAAGAGTTTCGGGGATATAACATCACCCTGTCTTACACCTCTCTGCAGTTGGATAGGTTTCGTACTCTGATTCTGTACTCGGATAGCCATCGTAGCCCTACTGTATAAACACTTTAGCACTTCGATATACCGACAGTCAACTTGGCACCGCTGAAAGGACTGCAGTACCGCCCAAATTTCGACGGAATCAAAGGCTTTCTCTTAGTCTACACTCGCAAAGCCAAGGGGCAGATTGTACTCCTTCGTCTTCTGTACATTTTTCCGAAGGGTGTGTATGTGGTCTATGGTAATAAAACCTTTTCAGAAATCGACTTGTTTGGTAGGCTGGAAGTCGTAAAGTAATTTTTTTGCATTTGGAGATCTGACTGTTCAGTTGCCTGTATGCTTTCAAATCTGATGAAGACTGTAGCTTCATCTCCCGTCTAACAGCCATGAAATTAAGAGTGTGATTGGAGAGTTTTTGTGTTCTCCTGCGCCGAGTCTAGCAGAACTTAGCTCCTATCGTATAGACAGTTTCCACGAGCTCTTCATTCATATCGTCCACTTCATTGCACTCTTCTAGGCACTGAAAACGGTTTCGTGACTCGAGCTGAATGGTTCCAGGAGTTTGGAATAGGGCACGAGGGGGACGGAGCATTGACTTCATTAGACGGGACCTCTACAACTTATCATTTAGGTTCAGTGTGCCTCTCAGCAATCGGTGATCGCTACCAGTTTTCAATGTCGCGATCACTGAGACAACACTGAACAGTTGTCGTCTGGTCGTCATAATAAAGTCAATCTCGATTTTTGTGGAACAGTCGGGGCTCGACCAGGTCCACTTAATGTGGGGCCGCTTCTAGAAGAAAGAGTTCATCATAAAGAGTCCCTCTTTCTCCATGAAATCGGCCAGCTTCTGGCCCCTTGGATTCCGTTGCCCTATTCCAAATTTACCTATTTTTAGCTCACCGTTTTTTCGTGTACCTAGTTTTGCATTGAAGTCTCCCATTAACACCGTATATTGGGTTTTGGAGAAATTTATGGCTATAGAGATAGCCTCATACATTTCCTCCACCTCCTCATCGGGGTGTGCAGAGGTTGGTGCGTAAACCTGTATGACCTTCAGCGAATACCGTTTGGTGATTCTGAGTATAAGGTACGCAACCCTCGTCGACACACTCTCTATCTTTACAACGTAGTTAACGAGAGACTTGTGGACGATAAATCCGACACCTCCTTGGGACAGATGGTCGCCCTCCCGGTGATAGAGCAAGTTGCCGGATTCCAGGATTACCATGTCCTCCCCCTCTCTTCGGACTTCGGATAATCCTATAATATGCCAGCGTAACTTGTTTGTCTCTTCTTCTAGCTCCACGATCTTCTCGTCAGTCCTCAGGGTGCGTGCGTTGTATGTTGCCAGGTTGAGTCGTCTTAGGCGGCAACCGAACTCCACCGGAGATTCTTAGCTCCCCCTGCTCCGCCGTTACCATGGTCGCCACCGTAGCCAGGAATAGCGTGCCCGCCGGGGGGCCGTCTCTTTGTTACTCTCATCATGGGGGGTATTTGCCATAGTTGCCACGCTTTGCGAGCGGGTTGGCAACTGCAGTTTTTTAATTGTAATTTTGGTGTTATCATGAAGATGCTGCTTCCTATCTCCTGCTTTATACTTATAATTTACTTATAAAGTTATATTAAGGTTTATTCCTTTAACTACTTTAAGATAATGATAACAATTTTATAATAGGTATAGAAAAAAAAAATCTTTTAAAATATCCGAACATTTCCAGACTGGACTCTAGCAAAGTATGTAAATCTAGGTACAAGGAGACAATATTTTAAAATAGTA